GTGTGTGTGTGGGGGGGTATTCTCATTAATTCTTCACTCTTGCTACAGATTAATTTTGAGGAGGAGAGCAGAGTGATGAAGCCAGTTCAGAGATGGGGATTATTAGGAGGCCATGATGGGTAAAGGCCAGGGGGAAATTTGGCCAGGACGCCAGGGGAACACCGCAAATCTTTTCAAGAAACACCCTGGGATTTTTAATGACAACAGAGTCAGGACCTATAATGGGGTATTAGGAACCACATAGACCACAGTGTGAGTCCCCTTACTGGTCCCACTAACACCTCTTCCAGCGACAGCCTTAGTTTTTCCCAGCTGTCTCCCATCCAGGTACTGACCAGGCTCTTAACTACCTAACCATTAAGCGCAGGCATGCAAGTACAGCTGCAGGACAGGTCAATAACCTCTGCTTTGTTTACGAATAAAAACGATTATTTCTCTCCTTCTCCCCCTACTGGACAGCCGTGGTCTCTGCTCCCTGAGCCCCGTCCTTACAGACAGATCGTATATACTATCACTTACCTCATCTTACAGATATGCTGGGATGCTGCAGATATTTAAATATTTATATATACCAATAAATAAGCAGTAACAAACTAAAATCAGACACATAAAACCTCATTTAGGTTGCTTTTTTTCTTCTTCACAGAACACGTGAATTTTAGTGCGTTCTTTATAGTAATATTTAACTCTCAGTAGAAAACCACATTTTAACTTCCAAGTTGTACACCATTTAAAATGCCTCAGCACATCCATGATTAAAAAAAAAGATTTACAGTATAATAATAAAGATCTTCAGTCATAATGATCATAGTATCTGCCCCTTCTCGACTCTGTGGGCGGCTCTTAAAAGAGCCTTTGGGTTTGTAGATCCGGGACGGGCGGGCCGGGTTTACTTGGAGCTGGTGTACTTGGTGACGGCCTTGGTGCCCTCGGACACGGCGTGCTTGGCCAGCTCTCCGGGCAGCAGCAGGCGCACGGCGGTCTGGATCTCCCGGGAGGTGATGGTGGAGCGCTTGTTGTAGTGCGCCAGGCGGGAGGCCTCGCCGGCGATGCGCTCGAAGA